TATTTTAAATCTATACCAATAAATAATAAAATTATTAATCTCAATCTCAAAGAAGCATTAAACAAAATCTTCTCTTAAACAAGCAATTTACAAATTCTAGTCAGAATCATTGCCTATTATAATATCACCCAAATCTCCAAACCAACTATTATTTAATTTAAAAAAAATCTTAACAAGTCATATTTTGATTAAACAAACTAATATATTATCAAAAAACTCAATATTATTATATTTATAGTATTAGAAACTAACTTTATCTATACTTTTAATGTATCTAAAATCATTGATAAACTCGATAATAGTCTTTTCTTCTAGTAATATCTATATATTTCTGTTAATTTTTCTTTATCTATCTACCTATACAATCTATACTAATTATTTTAATTATATCTTTATAATTCTATTAATTTTTTTTATCTATTTGCTTATCCAATTGATACTACTTGTTTTTTTTTTTTTTTTTTAATGATCTTGTTAAGATTATTATCATGTTCTATATCTTGAACTAATGTTCTTAATATCTTTAGTCACTAGACCTCAATTTCTCTCAGTCTGTACTTTTAAACTTTTAAGAGTGATCTGTTACACTAATCCTTGTCAGAATCAGAGAACTTCACCAAACTCTATCTAGAACCAGCTATCACTATAAGTTCATGTAATATTTCTTATTATTAGACTTTCAATCTCACATTATATCTTATGGCTTCAGTTATTTCAAATTAGATTCTAACTCATGTTCATTACCAGATGACTTTTCAATCACAGGTCATCTGTTTTTTCTAGAAATAAGTCTGTCTGATAATATTCTAGATTTCTAGTACCATGATGTTGCAGTTTTTTATTTTAGAAATACATCTCTACAATTATCATTACTAGGATTTGAATCAACAACCTTACAATTTGTGATCTTGGAACATAATCGCTATGCTATTGATCTTAGAGATCAATTGACACTATTTTTTACTTTTTTAACTATACTTTATTTTTTATTTAATTTATCTTATCTTTGGTTTCTTTTTTTTATAATGATATAATTAATTTCTGATAGTATAAATAATTAATGAAATTTATGAGTAACTTACTAATGTATACTAATATTATTTAGAAAATTTTAACTAATTTAGATGAACCTTAACCACTCTAGTAGGTTTAAGTTGCAGATAAATATGTCTGAGCTCTTATTCTTGCATGTAACATTTATATTACTTAGAGTTATAGTTTTATAGTTAATGGTTTAATGGTTAACCCTGATCACAAGTGTTGGTCTTAGCCATAGCATATATAGAACATCTTTTTGTATCCAGTAACTCCATGTAGTTACTACTTAATGACTACAAATAAAGATAGGAGCAAGGCTTCACCTTAATACCAAAAAAAAAAAACATATTTAACAACTAGTGCTATATTATAAAGTTCAGAATGGGAAAATTTTCTGGACATTCTCAAAAATTTAGTTTTTTATGAATTTTTAAATCATAATTATTTTTGGGTCGTAATTAATTTTAAATTTTAGTTTGGGATATGATCTGGATGAGTTCAACCTGTCCAGAACAAAATCGGAATCTGTCTGTTAAAATTGTTTTATAGGGTTATATTTCACAAAATTTGCAACATAAAGTTTTCTAATCAAGGTTTTTTTAATTTATCGCTAGTAAAAAGTTTTTATTTCACTCATTCATGCTCTTTTTTTATATTATATTGTTACAGGCAATAAGTGACACATTTCCGATAAACTGTACCATAAATCCAGTGAATAAATAATTAAGACGCCACAAACATCGAGGCATTGAATCTTCGGTTATGACACATGAGGCTTGTCAGTGAATAAACAGACGCGAAGCTAAAACATTCTCAATGCGTGGTAATGTCTTAAGAGAAAGCATTAAGAATGGAATGTTTATATCTGGATTTATTTTAAATCTGGATGTATCCGGATATAATTACTATGTTTTACTATCAATATAAATTTTTAACAAAGTGTCAATCCGGATTGAAGTATTAGCTCTAGAAGGGAAGGCCAAAGCCTCTCTTAATCATACTTTCAAGAAGTTATTTAAAGGGCATAACATCGAGAGTGGCTGGTTACGACCCTTATGTGCGAGAAAGGAGCTTGTAAGTATCACTATAATACTGTAGTAAACAGGTCCGTATTATTTCACCGACAGTCACCACATTCCACCGAAATTCATTTCACCAACAAGCTTATTTTATAGATGATTAATTTCATTTCGTAGACAGTATATTTCATCGACAGCTCATTTTACAGACAATGATCCACCCCGTCCAGCATAAATTTGATTCAATAGTTTTTAATAAGATCAAACGCCTACACATAAATCCATCAACTCAGTTTCAAATGTAATTATATTCATTTCAAAGTTCATTGTCTACCGTTGCATTTAATGCTTCGAACGGGTCGTGTCGACCCAACGCTAAATGGCATGTTATACAGTCGTCCCTCATTAATATCAACCTATTTGGATTGGTTTAAATTCATGTTGATAGTGATATTAATGAGGGATTATATTAAAGTTGATATATACAGTATTAGGAAATTTTAATATATAAAAAATTTATAAAAATTTGGTTTATAGTGACTGTAATATATTTTATTATAGGTCAGTCCTATCCTAGGCTAGTGGATCGTTTAACCGTTTAAAAATTGTTCCATAGTTCCTGGCAGAATTATGTTAGTCGCGGGCCGGAATTATTTTATTGCCGGCCAAATTAAACGGTCAAACGATTAAGAAGCGGTTCTAATCCCTATTCTAGACATATGTGACCTAACTATATAATTGAATTATACTATATTAAAGGAGTTCCCTATACCGCAAAAGTCCTACCATTTTATATCCAATATCTTATGTGAGAAATCCACAGATTGTTCACTATTAAAATGTTCTCTTATAGGTAATACGTACTATTAACCCCTGTAATGTAACACTAATGCCAAGAAACTTGATAGCGCTACGTAGCACTATATCATGATACATAGCGCTATAAGTTGTATAAAACACCTGTATTATTAATAGCTTTAAGTAATACTTGGTCGTGTTAAATCATACAAAAAGTGTATTAATAGAAGAGATAGCAAAAGAGCACAATATTCGAAATGTATAAATAAGCTCAAATATCACACTTGTAGAAAAATAGTTCCAAACTCAACAAATCAATAATAAAGGAGTAATCGTGTCTTTATACACGGATACCTTGAATAATTAGTAAAATAGTTATAGTGTCTCATACACGAATATAAATCGTAAACTTTTTATACGACTACTTGTATCTTCATATACATTTGCTGTTTGCCTTTTTCGTAATTGCTAAAATAAAACTGTTATATCGAACTTATAAGAGGTAGTTTCGGATGTAACAGTATTTCGTATTTAATCTTATGATTTTACTCGTACGATACTTTGAAATAGATTGATCCTTAATACGTGTCTAGTAATCATACTACCACGGCGGTTACGCCTCACTTCACCGACACTCATTCGTAGGCGTAACATTTCCCCGACATTTTTGTTTCGCCAACAAGTTTTTTTTTCATAAACTTAATTCTAATTCTAATCTGGTCCCAACGACAATGACCAGAATTATTTGGGGCAAAACGTCCTTAAAAATTGTTACACGAAATTATAAAAAATTTCGACATATCTAATTGTAAACGTGGGATGTCATTAATTATTAATGATACATACGTAAGTCGTTACAAATAACATGTTACAATTAGACGTTGAATCTGAATTTTTGCGTAACATTTTTTAAAAAATCATTAATTGCACTTTGGGACGTTTGGATTGACGACGCCCCATTTGTCGGTGAAATGAGCTTAGGTGAATAAGCTGTCAGCGAAATGAACTTGTTGGTGAAATAAATGTCGGTGAAGTATTACGTCTACGAAATGAGTGTCGATGAAGTGAGCACGACTCATAGGCAGAAGTTCGTCTGATTGGCTAATAAATTCAATTTAATTTTACATTATTTATACAGTACTTTTAAAAAAAACGAAAACCAACCATAATAAAGTAAAAAAAACATATAGAAGGTTTTATTAGAGCTGTAGGACTCCATAGTCAAAAATAAGATCTAATTCTCGTACGTTTAAAAAAATTAACTTAGTAATAAATTGATTTTATCGGGTTTTGAGAAGTTATTACTATACTAACTTTTTTAAATGGATGAAAATTAGATCTTATTTTGGCTATAGAGTCCTACAGCTCTATTGAAACTTTCTATACAGCCTTTTTTATTCCATTATGTTTAGTTTTCGTTTTTTTAAAAAGTACTCTAAATTATATAAATAATGTAAATTAAATTGGATTTGTTAACCAATTAGACAAACTTCTGCCTATGAGGGCACGACTACATCGCGTAACTACGTACCCTCATCTTTATTTTAGACTATGTAAAATGGATTTAATTTTATGAAACCTTTCATGCTAATAAAATATCGAATCCGTTCGCATATGAGCGCTGCAGAGCGAAAAGTTAGAAGTGAATATTTAAGTTTTCATCATGGCGAATTTGGCGCCTGAAGAACATGATATCTATGGTAAAACGTGAAATAACTATTACATAAATTTTAGTTACTGCATTTAAATCCGTAATATAAGTCTAGCATGTCGCGTAGCTACCCTAACTTTAAAAGAGTAATGACGAATCCGTATATCTGAATGGACCCATTCCCAGTTTTGTGAGGTTAATCGGCTTATAAAGGCTCGGGATTGGCTCGGCTATGAGACGTGCATCACTATAAAAATCTCGTAAGCTATTTAACAATATTTAGATAATGATAGTGATAAATTTTAAAAGATTTTTTTCGTAAATGCAATATTATCGCTATAATTTAATAATAATTATTGTACAAGTTATTTTATTTATCATTCTTTTTCTTCGCAAATAAAAACTATAACTATTTAATATTAATAATATTTTCTTTGGATTCTAAAAGATTTTAGATATATGGAGCTTGAAAAACCGGAAGAATGGAAACATATTTATACTGAAACATTCGAATTATCTGTAATTACTTGATAAGCTTCATGTTCATCTACAGAAAAACATTCTTTAGTGTCTCTAATTGATTGACTATAAACAAGTTGTTTGCAAAAATTTTCACAATCTTTACTAAAATTTTTATTCAAACATAAGTCTCTGGCGAAATGTAATCCATATTTTTTAGATAGATTGAACGATAATACGGACTTTGTCGGTCGACTTATTTTATAGTTATTTAAATCATTCTTATCCAAAGTAAAAATAAAACTCTTATTTGTTTTTTGATTAATAACATTTATTTTCTTTTTTCGATTCCAACTCAAATGATTATAACCACCCAAAATTTCATTTGTACCTTTGACTCTCAAAACTATTAAAGTTGGACCTTTGTCGTCACATTTTTCATGAAACTTTTGTGCATCGAATCCATCGCGACTTCCTCTGATAAGTAATTTAAATCGATATCGATGTGAAATAGTTGATTTATCTTCTTCAGAAGCATCCCCATCAATCCACTTTGAAATCAACGAAAAATGGGGTTGGTCTATTATTTCACTATCTTTTTCAACAATCACGCCATCATCCTTCACCCCATTATCCACTTCTTTATTCATCGTTTCATCCTTTACCTTATTGTCCTCATCATCTGCTTCAATATTCTCTTCGGAAATCACATTATCGTCAGTTACTTTGCTATACATTCCACTAACCAACATGCTTTCATCAGGTAAGACGAGATTTTCGTTTACACTATCTTTGCTGCTTTTGCTCGGATATTTACTGCTATTATTACTATCGTTATTACTACTGCCATCACAAGGTAGTGATTCATCATTCTTTATGGGTGCATATTTATCCAAAATATCGATAACGTATTTTATATCTGGTCGTTTCTTAGGATCTCCATCCCAGCATTGTTTGTAAAGATCGGAATAAAAAGGAGGAGTGCCTTCCATTGGTGTTTCTCGTTTGCCTGAATTTATGCTGATAGCAATCTGATCTCTATTATAAAACTCGAATGGTTGTTTTCCACTTGAAATTTCCCAGAAAATTACTCCAAGACTGTAAATATCGGATTTTCTATCACGTTTATACTTTGGGTCATTAAAACATTTAGGTTCTATATAAGCAGGCATGCCATGAGCGATTGATGTACTTGCATTTGAAGTTAACTGTTCACTAGTCTCTCTGGCTAAACCAAAATCTGCAATCTTCATATGTCCATCGTCAACCAAAATATTTTTGGAATGCTATAAATAAATTAATAAATAAAATTCTTATTACAATATCAACCCCATTTTAAACTGTGAAATAAAATATCTTACGAGATCACGATGAACAATGTTACGAGTATGTAAATACGCGAGACCAAGTGTTATTTCCTTTGCAATACGTAATTTATCATCAAAATTGAGTATATTAAAGTTTTTTTTTAAGTATTGTCTCAAGTTTCCATCTTCGGCAAATTGCAAGACCATATTGTAATACCCATCGGAATCTACACAAGAATTTATGTTAATTCTGTTCATTTTACAGTCAATGAAATAAAGTAATATATACCTTTGACGACTCCATAAAACTGTATTATATTCGAATGAGATGCAACTTTTCGAGTAACTGTAAACTAGTTAATATATAATTCATTAATTATGATAATACCCTCGAAGCTAAAATCTAATTTCTCCGTAATATAAATAATACCTCTTTAATGAAAGCTTTAACCATATGTTCATCCGGTTCTTCAAATTTAAGTCTTTTTAGAGCAACATCTAATCCACAATCCTCCCATTTAGCTTTACGAACAGTTCCAAAACCACCTTCTCCAATTTTTTGAAGATTACTAAATTTTTCAAATTTGAAAATTTCAAATGGGTTTTTGATTCCTTCTTCAATCTGTCTGTTCCATTCATCCAACTGTTTAGACATTTTTTTCAAAATGAATCGACAAATTTTTAAAAATGGTAGAGTAAATGATAATTCTAAATAGAAAAGTTGTAACTTTTATGTTTATATGCGTAGCACGCGCATTGTAACACGATTAGTCTCATGATGAAAACTGATTTACATAACGACTAAATAGCACATACATGAAAATGGCTCTCAACTATTTAATTATAATTAATTATAATACAGGGGCTTGAATTGACTTTTATTTAAAAAAAACATCAGACATAAGGTTGACTATGAAATATTACGATATTACTCAAACTTATTTGGGACGTCCCAAAAGACGTGATGAATAATATTACATTAGATTTATCGCATTATTGTTGTTGCCTAAACAATGTGATACTATTCATCACATAGTTTGAGACATCCCAAATAGTTTGGGTTACATTGCTAGAATCAATATTGATATATCGATATGTGTTATCGCTATCTTAAATCAACGTTTTAAAAGAAAGAATCACAGAAGATCAATCTATTTATAAACTCCAATAAAAAAAAAAAAATAGATCTTGTGAAATTTAGCATAATTATTTCTTAAAATAATTTCAGAAATTCTAAATAAAAAAATTATTATCGATATGGAATACGTACTTAAATTTAAATTTTAATGAGTTTAAAGATTTAAAAATTTATTATTATTAAATTTCGTTATTACTAATTCTTACAAGAAAATATAATTATAAATAAATCAATCTACTATAGCTGATTCCCTATATATTTTGTTTTTATAACTGTTTAAATTTAGATAGTAAAGCATTACTGCGTCATATAAATCTTGGTAAGTAAATACGTATAATAATCATCTTTTGGCCATAGTATCTTAAGAATATTTTAACTAAATTGTTATGTGTATGATCGCATGGCGGGTTTTAGCATAATTCATAAATTTTATCTCATTTATTATTTTCCGGGCTTATTTGTTATCATCCCATCTCGAGCTTTATTTGTTATCATCCCATCTCGGGCTTTTATTTGTTATAATCCCATCTCGGGCTTTATTTGTTACCACCCCTGGGCTTTATTGGGCTCCGAAATTTTAAAAATGTTAAGAGAGAAATAAAATGTAATAGAAACGATTAGTAATGTTGTGTGTCAAAGTTCAATAGTCGTCAATTCTAAATTGACTTATGTTAATTTAAAATTTATACTTACAGATATGCAGCAAACTTGTTATATAATGATTAATAATGATTAATAGTGATCAATACGTAATAATTAGTATGGTGCAAGACATCTATACTCAACGGTTACATGAAGTGTTTCAATTTTTCAAATGGCGATAACTTCTTAGATAAAAAGTTATAACCATTTGAAAAATTGAAACACTTCATGTTGAGTATAGATGCCTTGTACCATAATTATGTATAAATTGGGTTTGCTTTTTTTTTTCTTTCATATTTTCGCAATGGAAAATATTTATAACACAACAAATATATGGGAGTGAGTTAGTAGAAATCAAGCAAATTGTTTTTATTGAATTTTTTTACAAAATTTAAATGCTAATAACGGAACAAAAACTTCATTAAATTTAATAAAAATTTTTAAAAATAAATTCTATAAGTTTGTAGAATTCATTTAAAAAATTTTTTACAAAATTTGATTATGTGGTTATTAAGTTATTGTTATTCAAAATTTTAAAAAAAAATTTTTGAAAAATATTTGTTTGATTTCTACTAACTCAATCTCATATAATCAAGCTATACTTGTTATTTTAAATTTTAAAACAAGTTGTGAAACAGCTCAAGATAGAAACTAGGTACAATCAATATTGAAATTAATGTACATAGATCCAAACCATTATTTTTATAATAAAAATAAATCTGTTATAAAAAAAAAATTTATAATATTCTTTATAATATATATAGAACATAACAGCATAATAATTAATAAAATTCTAAAATAAATTTCAAAATTAATATAGTTTTATTTAATACGATTTGATTAAAAAAATTATTATTTTTTTTTGATGTTAAGATAAGGTCTTGCTTATATCTTTATTAGTAATTTTAGTTGTACATATTAATATATTATATATTAAAAATATATTAAAATTGTAAAATACAAAATAAAAATTACATACAAGAATTAAAGCTTAAACAATTTTATCTGCAATCTAAACCCACTAAAATAATCAAGGCCTATCTTTTTTTTTTTTTTAAAAGCGAGGTCTAGCCTCAGTTTTTTTTATTGAATTTTATATATAGATACATTACATGATATAACATAGTATATATTCTTATCTATGAAAAACTAAAGCTAGGATTAATTTACCTCTGACCCAAACTTTGCCAAGAGGGACCAAAGGCCTCTCTTAGTCCTGAATTATTGCTATAGAGTTAGGTGATGTGTTATGATTTTTGAAGTTCTCAGTCCAAATATTAATTCTTTTTTTAACTTGTAGGTTTTTGTAATTGATAGATATATAGGTATGAGTATTAGTGTTGTCTAAAGTTGTTGTATTAGATTAGATTAGTTTACTAGATGTGGTAATATGTAAGGATTGTTGGTTTGGTGTATTTTGGTTTCTAGGTGTAGTTTGGCATCATGTAATTCATATTTGTTTGTATATTGCTTTGCTAATTTTATGCAGTATTATTTCAGCAGCTGTATGTTTTGTTTTTTTGTTTATTAACTTATTCATTGTTCTGCTTTGGTGTAGAGTGATGATGCCTTTTATGATCATGTTCTCCTGTTTGTCATCAGTGTTAGATAGTATTAATAGTGAGATGAAGGTTTCCAAATTTTGTAATATATTTAGTTGATGTTTGGTAAGAATTTTTGTGATTGTGTTCTCAATAATAGAGTTGGTATTGATGTTATTAGTATGACATTGTGTTCAATGTTCATTGGTTTCAGGGTTGGTTTTGCATCTCTGTCAATTTGGATTATTATATTTCTTGGGGTTGCATTTGTGAAGTACTGTTTGGATGGATAGTTCATTAAGGAAAATTTTGATTTTGAAGGCCTTCAGATTTGAATAAGAGGGATGAGTATATCTGGAAGTAAGTTTGTCATTAAAGTTTATGAAATTATGAAAAGTTTCTTAGTCAATTTCTTTGTGTATTGTGTTTCAAGTGTTCATTCAATTTTGGGCATATTATGTAGCAATATGATATGCATTATTAATGTGTTGGATAAATCTTCTAGATATATGCTCGATGCATGCATTGTGCCAGTTTATAGTAAAGATGTTATGTCTTATTGCTGTATGGTTTATGCTAAGATAATGTATAATAATGTTGGATCTAGTTGTAATGTTCAATATTTTATTATATTGAAACTGGATTTGCTAAGATCTTTGTTTGATAATTGTTTTTAGTATTAGCCAGCTAGACCATAGTGAGGTTTTGTAGATCTGAGTATTATGCCAGGATAGAGTATTTAGAATAAACTCTGCTTTTTGAATAAATTGTTTTTTGTTAGTATGTATAGTTATGTTTGTGTTTTCATAAATACTAAGTGTAATGTATATTAGAGCTATGCATAATGCTTTGTTGATGCTTGGTCAGTTATAGTTATTAAAACAAAACTGAAATTTTGATTTGCTGTTTTCTCAGATGACTGAAATAATTTCTGTTGAATTTGGTTTATAGAACATTAACTTAATGTTAGTTGATTGCATTTTTGATATGTTTTGGTACATGTTCAAAGGTCTTAAGCTGCCTTTTGAGGTGATATTGTATTGGTTATATCAGTAAAAGTTCATTGATGTAATTTGATAAATGATTTGTTGACTGACTTAGTTATAGGTTTTTGATTAGACTTA